AATCCTGATTTAAATAACCCTAACCCTAACTCAAACAATAGTTCACCTGTAACATTCCCACTTATTTGTAAATGCTGTACTATGTTGGCAAAAGCAAATTAGCACTCTTTATATGCACACTTTATTTGGTATCTTGGTAGATCAGACCCACCGGATGCATCATACCGAACAAACTGCAATTGCTACGTATATATGACAAACGCAGTTCTTCATTTATGACAGCAGGTGGCATACCCTAGAATTAGAAACACATAAATTGGGTGCAATTTGGATGTGTGTGTACTTCTACTCAGACGGAAGCCATATTTCTCTTTAAAGACAAACACAAAGGAGTGTGCTGAAGGCTGGAGATCATTTAAGCTTCTTTTTTTATGGAGGGTCGATATGTCATGAAGTGTGTAAGGGTTGCTGCTGCCATTTGGTGTTATTTTGTGTTTGGAGTCAAAGAAATAGGTGGAAGTTATTTTTAATTTCAGACACAGAACCATGATCACTGCCATAATTTACTTGGAGCTGTAACATTTTTTGAGTGTGGGAGTAATGAACATTTTGAAAATTTATCTGAACTTTTTTCAAACCTGACATGCAAAACATCAATCCATATCAAACAATTTAGTGTTTTATTTAAATGGACTATATAATTACTTGATGTAACCTTACGCCAATTTTATAATAGGTAAGGCTTATTTCAAAGCTACTACTGTGTTTGTGGGTCTGACTGTTCAGATGATGAATTACATTTTCTTTAAATCCCCTTTGATCTCTGAGCTTTATTTTTACGATATAAATAAAAGATATTGGAATAAAATTCGGATTTCCATAAGGCAATTATCTCCATCAGAGTTTTCTAAAAAACAGTTTTTATTTAGATTGCCATAAGACAGACAAAGATTCAGCCATTTTTTATTTTGTTAAAGTTAAAAGATAAGATGTTTAAAATTAAGTCGTGTACAAGTAAATTACATTTTGTATTGTTTTTCTTACAAATTTTTCTTTATTGTTAAATGAAAAAGTTTAATTTTATTATACAAAAGTAAATAGTTTTTCTTGTCGTCATGTTTTATGTTTAAATTTCTCTCAGACGAAAAAAAACAAACAAAACAAAAACAACTAAACAAACAAAGAGAACCCAAACAACTGTGTGTTCTTGTGATTTAAAGCCCTCAAGCTGCCTCTCTTTGAACGCTCCAGATTTATAGTTTCTAAGGAGGCTTGTTTTCATTCCTTCTTCTTGTTGAATCCAGACCTGACGCTGTAAATTCTTTTCCTGATCAGAAGCACGCCGATCATCCCTGCTGGGTTCTCTTTTCTCCATCAAACATGGTATTCACCGAAGGGTTGAGTCTGATTTCATCGGAGAGTGTGAAAACTGCGGAAGTGAATCTGAAATTCATCTCACACATCTTCAAATACACAGACACACACACACAGCTCCACTTTGAGCGTTCGCCTCATCCTCGGATATGTACATTATTCCTGACATCAACAATTTAAGAAGACGGTGTCTTTGACACAAAGTGGCATTAATTAAGTCGCTAAACGCACACCATCACACATGAGAAAAACACCGTGGACGAACAAAGCCAGGGACAGAAGGAAAACCTCTAAAAGTCGATTACAATTTTATGTTTGCTTTTAGATCACTTTCTTTTTTTAATGATAAATGAAGTTACTAATTTTGTCTGAGCTCTTGCTAGACACTGAAGCTTTAATTGCTAATTGTTAACAGCAAATGAATAGATTTGCATATTAATGAGGTCCCAATTTACATTTTTAATTTGCCGCTTTCAAAGAGTGCAAGATAAAAGGTTGTGTTGTTTTAAATTATTTATCCTTCAGTGCAGAATAGATGCTAAAAGGAAAAATGTGGGCCTGATTTTTAACCCTGAAGAGCTCTGTCATACACTAATACATATAAATATATATCAGTTATTTATAGTGTCTGTCAGTTAATTAAAGGAACAAATAACAAAACTGGTGAAGTCAAACATTTTTTAGCACAAAGCTGTCCGGAGTGGCAGAGTGGAAACACCAGAGAGAATTTCTGTGGCAGCGGAGTTTGGAATCAGGATTCTTTATTCCGCTTTGTGGAGAAATGTGTGTCTGCGCCTTTTATCACTCCATTTTGTCGTCTCTCCCTCCTGACACCTCAATATGTTTGGCAGGCGACGCCTTCGTTTTTTTTTTAGGCAGCAAAGAGGGAACAAACGAATAAGTTCAGAAATTCATTAAGATTAGAAACAGCCGCTGCTGTGCTCCTTGTGGGAAGGAAGATATTTCACTATGTCTGAGAGGAAGTTCCTCTTCTTACTGTCTGTTAGATTTTTGATCAATACAACATTTCCCAAAAGTAGATGGTGACTTAAAAATGTGCATAAACTAATGCAATACAAAATCCTTAGAATACGGACAGTTTGAATAGGTACACCTCAATTGTTATTAAAGTGCCTTATGTTAGAGGCATGCATATACATGATGTAGATAGCATGCATTTGAAAAATTACTGATACTATTACCCTCAGCAGGTTTTTCACCTTCTCAGTGTCTCTTGGGTAAACATCTTTTTAAGTTTTATGATTTATTTATTGATGAGAAGTATTTATTAAAAGTTTCTTATATTTATCATATGTGCTCAAAGCAATTGGGAGTGAAGGTAGTGGCTTAGAGCGCCACCTACAGGAGGCTGCAAACACAGGATGATTTTTATTTTCAGGCTTTCTGTGAAGAAAGAAAACAGACTGTATTTATAATGAATTTTCAAAAAGTGAAGCTGTAAATTTTTTACAGCAAGTAAATATACATCAAAGCACATACATTTATATTCTGCCATTTAAACAAAGATTAAGTTAAAATATCTATAAATGTAAATAGAAAATTATCTAAGTTCTATTAGATGTTTTAGGTTTAGTTAACTGATTATTTTTCTTAAATATGAATAGTGTGTCAGATGCAAATTTGTTGAGAAAGAAAAACTTCTTAATACCCGAATTAAAGAAATGAAAGCAGCTTAAACTAAAATTATAGGCTTTCGGTAAAATGTATGAAAATATATTTGATTAATATTGAGTGTAATTTGTGTTGTTGTTTTGGTTGAAATGTATGTCATTTTATGTTTTTTTTTTTTAGACTTAATGGAGGCAATGATGTGGTCTAAGCGGATGTAAGATTTTAGGGTTATGAAAAATAGAGACCATGTTTTACCCTTTTAAAGTAGGAAGAAGATGACAGCAGTGGGAGAGAATGAATCCTCCAATCTGCTGCGAGAGGCTGCTGCATATGTTACACCATCCTCCAATTCCTCAAAAAGCAAGCAAGGAAAATAAATGAATAATAAATCAATTATTACCTTTTTTTAAGCAATTATATATATCAAATTAGCTTTTTTTTAAATAACAACAACAAATAACCCTCAAAGTACTTTTGCTTAAATGTAAATAATACACAAAAAATCAACATTGTAATTTTTTTTTCATAGACTGAAATATCCCAGTCTATAAAAGTTTTTACGACTAGGTTTTTTATGTAAATAATAATATAATATTAGCCTGCTAACACAATGAATAAATAAATTAAAACATAAAAAGATAAATAGTATAAAAGAAGATCCAATAAAAGGGTAAGCAGGCTTTCCTCAGTAAGATAAATGTTTTCTTTTTTTTCTTTTTTTTTTATGAGGTGTCTGAAAACACATCCCCTCCCCATAACTGTTTTCGTCTTACTTTGATCGCTCGTTGTTGATTTGACAAAAATCCCAGCAGCAGTGGGGAAGGGGTGGGATCCCTTGAAATTTTTATTAAAGAATTACAATAGAGAAAATCATTCTAATTAATAGCCAATTGTAAACACTGTCAAGCCTGCCTCACAAATCATGCTTGTTATACTTTTATAAGTAATTTCACCAACTGTCACAGTGGAAACAGCTCGTACTTCCACTCTGCTTGTGATAACGTGAGCATCATTGTCTTAAAAGATAATTTCATGGAGATTCAGGCCTGTCCAACAATTTCACACAGAGACAGAACAGCTTATGTCCTATTGATCAGCCTAATTTCAACAGGAGAACATTGCTGCAACCTCCCTTTTGTCCTCCAAGTCCTTTTATATTTAATTGTGCCCTTGTGAACAGGGAGTTGTAATGTAAAGGAAACATGTAGTGAAGAATCAAGTGATGGATCCAGAGAGGAAAAGCTGTCAAGAATCTGGGGTTTACAGAGATAACAGGGCTACGTTTAAATTTTTATCAGGCCTGTCAAAAGAAACATGCACTGCAAAGCTTTTTAAATTCATAAATCTGTAAAAATATTCAACCAAAACTGTGCTAATATAGATTAAAAAACAATTAGTGCAATTTGCACACTAATGGGGCCCCCTGGTGGAGCCTTTCTACAGCTTTCAATAACTGATGTACAGACTTTTTAAAGATAAAACAAGAACTAACTTCAAATATCTCCATTTACACAAACAATACTCATTCCAAGCTACAATCTGTATGTCTATAAGAAAGCTTATATCTATAAGAATCCAGATCCGGTTGCAAGATACACAAACTACATGAACTTACGAGTTCTTAATTATGTAAAGCAGGCTTTTTAAAGATCTCAGTCGCCCTGTTTTGCTTGTCAGTGAAAAAAAAAAAAAGAAAGCAGTGTGTTTTCCACCACCGCACAAATCTGCCACCTCCGGTGATTGATGCAGTCAAATTAGATGTATGTGGAACACTGGCTCCAGCAAATGAACACATCAACTGATGACCAGCTGTTTCTAATTATTATACACTGGTTAATTAGGACGCCGTGTCACCAGCATCAACAGCGGCGGTAAACTGTGTGAAATTCATAATTCATGCTCCGGCGTCCAACGCGCCTCCCTGATCAAACCGCCACGGTGGATGGAAAAGGCCGTGCAGAAAGGGAGCACAGAGGGTGTCAGTGTGTATGTGTGTGTCTATATGATGGTGTGTGTTCACAGCTCTTCCTCACACCTCTCCCCGTCTCTCTCAGCAGGGTGTGTGTGGAGGAGGCAGCGTTGAATGTCTGGATCTCAAAGGTAAGATGAGTGCCTCACTCTATCTTCATTAAATATGACTTTATGTCACATTCACGACAGACTCACTGCTCTTTAAAATGTTTCACATGTTTGAACAAGAATGTAGATGTAAAAGATAAATAAATAAGAAATCTAAGAGAGAAGTAATTTTATTTTCATGGCGGACACCTTTTTTATGTAGCTAGAACTACACAATGTCCTTCCCTTGTACGATTTGGTTGTTGGATTATGACCGGAAATTTCCTAGTTAAGCTCCTAGTGGAGGTAAGAATAAACTGGTGCCACTGACGCAATCCATTCTTCTTCTCCTCTTGTCACAGTTTGTGATTTTTGTACCTATTTTTGCTATATATGTCTTGGGTTGTGTTTACAGTCTGTTCTTTTAATTTATCGTGTTTAAAAAGCTGGTTTATCTCTGTGTTCTATAGTTGATGGTTTTCTTTTGGGGTTTTTGCAAAGATCATTCACCCTAATGGTGTATTTTCACCCTAATGGTGTATTTTTTGTAGCTTCTTTAGGTGAATTTGTCCAATGATGGTTTGAAATCAGGAATTTTCTGAAGTTCCAGCTGTGCTCTCTGTGGTTCGATTGTTCCGTCGAAATTTGGCTCCAAACTACAACCCAAGACTGTCCCTTGCATCTTCACAATAATCATCATAACAACAGCGTCCGCAGGAGTTAACCATGTATGATCTCATTATGCCAGATCCCACCCCTCCACCAACTCTTCATTCTGCTTTCTCAGACTCTGTAGGGATGATGCCATAATGGAACAATGCTACCACGTTAGCCTCAACATAAAGTCATCTTGGAAAATATACCCCTTAAAATCTTGAAGCTGAATCCAGTTTAGTAGGAACTGATATAATCTCATAAACCAGCTGCACTCTGCTATACTGAATACATTTTGTGTACTCTGCACATATAAAATATTTATTCTATTTAAAAATTTTATTGTTTTACCATAAGAACATCTTATTTTCTTTTAGTCATCTCTTCAAAATCATCTGCAGTTCTAATGGGAAGTGGTCACTGTGAAACTCACCAGTCTGCAGAGCAGATCGGTTTTCAAGTAGAGTCGCAAGTGTTGCTACGCTCTGTGGCTCATGTACTGTAATAAACAATGAACCATGTCCTTAAGTGTCCATTAATTTTGCATTTCTTTGTTCTGTGCCCTCATGAGATTGCCCCTTACCAACAGGATTCTGGAGATTATGATCACTGTCATGGTTCTGCACTTTTTGGTTCCGTTTAAGTTTTCTTTTTGAGTTTTCATTGTTTTCTGTTCCATGTTGTCTCATTCTAATTGTTTTCTGGTTGTATGTTAGTTCTTATGTATTTCTTGTTTACCCTCTGTTGCCACCTTGTGTCAGTCTCCTTCCCCTAGCTCCCCTCTAGATCCTTCTGTCCACACCTGCTCCCAATCTGTTGATTATTCCATTCTTTTTTCTGTTTGGCATTTATACTGCTCCTCTTCAGTTGCTTTTTGCTGGATTCTCTTCATTCATTCATTCCCTCCTTGATCTATGTGATCCCCTTTACTCTGTTTCCTGTGTTCGGTGATTAGTTATATTCGGATTTATGCTTAAGTTGCCACCATTCATTTTTAAATCTCATCTCAGCTTACATCACTGCATGTAAGTTCTCTAACAACCCCCACGCAACCTGAAAATTACTCCTTGTCTTGGCTTGAGAGATATGAATTAACCCTGTGAAACAGGTGGTCAAAAGACTTTAAAGTCTCAGAAATTACACTGATCAGTTACACTTTCATTTTGATAGCCATTGTTTTAAGAGTGGGTAAGAATAATCAGATAAAAAAATGTTAACAATATATGCTTAAGGGGCAATTATACAGAACACCCATAAAGAGAATTAGCTAAACATTCCCTCAAAAATCATGATTCAGGAAGTTCAGTTAAATTGTTTTGGGGTTTTTTTCTATAAAGGTTATGTGCAAAACTAGTGTCCAACACTTATTTGAAGTTAACGTATTGAAGGTAATGCCATTTTATTCACTCTCATTCTAAATGTGGTCTAAATGGTCAGCAGCAAAAGGACTCTGACACGGCACAATTTAAAAACAAATCCTACACTACTCCAAGAAATGTAACAAGCAGTACATTCTGAAAATAAATTGACACTCCTTTGTCAGTCATTCCCCCCACTTGCTTTCCATTGTTTTTGAGCCTGAAAAAAAAGGTTGTTCCTCATCTAAAAAAGGTATAAGGCACTTTTAATGGAAACTTCCAAGCCGGGCTTTTTGGGTAATCTGGACGTCCTAACCACATGAAGCAACTGGAAAACTATTTGAAAATGGTCACTGGCATATGAGACCTGCTCCCAGAGAGGGAAAGTGGGGTTATCTCAGCATTGAACAGTCTTAACTGCTTTACTAGGTATAAAGTGGTGTACTTTGTTTATTTGGGAAACTACAGGCCTTGCTTCTCTGTTAACAGACATGCACCATTTTACCAACACCAAAACTAAAACAGCCAACTTCAAAGTTATGGGCATTTAATAGCTATGCTCTCTCGGTAATTAGATACCTTGCAGGAATAACAAGCTGGCCAAAGGAGGAGGTATAGGCCACAGATGTTAAGAAACAAAAGCTCCTAACCATGTACGGAGGGTACCACCCCAAATCCAGTACCCTGAGACTGTACGCCAGCCGTAGGGAAAAAGGCAGAGGACTAATGAGCATAAGAGCCACTATCCAGGATGAAATATCCAAGATCCATAAGTACATCAAGGACAAGGCTCCAACAGACGATTTGCTCAGTGAATGTCTCAGACAATGGGGAACAGAAGATGAGGTGCCAGAGACTCCATCATGGGAGGTTAAGCCCCTAAACAGGATGTACATAATTGAAGTGGCAGATATCAGGAAATCCTACCAATGGGTAGACAAAGCCGGAATGAAGGACAGCACAGAGGCACTCATCATGGCTGCCCAGGAGCAGGCCCTAAGCACCAGAGCAATAGAGGCCCAGATCTACCACACCAGACAAGACCCCAGGTGCCGACTGTGCAAAAAGGCCCCTGAGACAATCCAGCACTTAACTGCAGGGTGCAAGATGCTGGCAGGGAAAGCTTACATGGAGCATCATAACCAAGTGGCTGGAATAGTATACAGTAACATCTGTGCAGATATATACTATACCTTACTAGTATGGGCTGGGATACACCTCCAAAGACGGTAGAGAATGACTACGCTAAGATTCTGTGGGACTTCCAGATACAAACGGACTGAATGGTAATTGCAAACCAACCTGACATTGTGGTGATGGACAAAAAGCAGAGGAAAGCTGTTGTGGTTGACATAGCAATACCAAGTGACTGCAACATCAGGAAAAAGGAACATGAGAAACAAGAGAAATACCAGGGGCTCAGAGAAGGGCTCGAGAAAACCTAAAAGGACAAGGCATCCGTGGTGCCAGTGGCATTGGATCACTCGGGGCAGTGACCCCCAAACTATAGGAGTGGTTACAGCAGATCCCTGGAAATACATCAGACATCTCGGTCCAGAAGAGTGCAGTTCTAGGAACAGCAAAGATACTGTGCATAACCCTCAAGCAAGGAATATATATATATATATATATATATATATATATATATATATATATATTATAAAACAAGAGAACGGCAAACTGGAAGTGCTCAATATAGTTGTTTTCAAACCTGGTCTTTGTTGCTTCTGTATGTTCCTCATTGTCCTTTTTTTCTGTGGCAAAGAAATGTGCAAATATTTATCTTTTGCACGAAGTTAAGCTGCTGTGTACAGGTACTTTTATTGATTACTGCAGTCGACAGGCAGACCGTAATCAATGCACACTCGAGTATTCACATCTTGGAAGTCCAATCATGAAAAACTGGAGCTATCATCATTATTTTTCCCTCTGTGTTTCTGATTAAGTTTCAGAACTTTATTAAAAGAAAAACATAAACACACAGGTAAACTCTGACTATAAAGGAAGCTGTTTTGTCCTGATTTTTTTTTTTTTTAATGCTGAAATACTCATTTCACAAAAAAAGATGAAGTACGTTCAGAGCCGTGCAATTTTGCCTGTTAGCAAACAGCCTCCCAATTATCTTGGCTTTGATTGCTTGCTTCCATCAAGGTGAGCGATTAGACCACCGCTCCTGTGAAGCTTTGGAAGTCGTCCTGAAATCACTGCACTTTGATTTCATCAATCTGCAGGCAGCGCAACTGGAGGAAAATGTGAGTTTTATGAGCAAAACTTATTTTCCCCTATTTTCATCTTCGAGTTCCAATACAGTTTCATATTCAGGCCTTTCCTTGTATCAGATTAGAAGCTGTTACTTTTTTTTCTTGCCCAAAGAAACTTCATAACATTCCTGTCAAATTTCAGGTCTTGCTTTCTTAATTTTTCCCCTTCACTATGTTTTTTTTTTTTTTTTCCTGTTCCAGGGAGCATCGTCCTTGCTGGATATGATTTTGTACTATGAATCCACAACGTATCTTGACATTTCTGACAACAGCAGTATGGGAACATCATCTTGGAGGGCCCTCGCTCATTTGATAAAGCAGGTTGGCTGACGCAGTGAAACAGTAATCTTTTCATGTAGGCTTTCTCACAGGGATAATGTTCATGTGAAAGAAAGTGAGTTTGCGATGCATTAAGTGCAGAGAAGATGCAGGGTCAGACAAACAGGGTTAGAAGTCATGGTACTGCAGGCACATGCAGCAGCAAGCTCGCTAAGGAGTCGGACCAAAGTAGCATCACAGCTTACATCAGTGGATGTAACTATTAACAGCACTATTAACAACCAATTAGATCCGAGGTTACTGTGAAAGAAAATTCCTTTATTTTTCTTTTCATATGTAACACAAATCAAACAGGATTTATTTATGAAAGAAAGAGAATTGCTTGTTTTTCTTAGGGGACAATGTATATATAGGTGTTCAAAACTGATCTGTTTTATATAATCTGAACTGCTTACACAGACATTTTGATATCACTCAAAGGATGGGGTGCAAAGATGAACTAAAACCAGATTTTTTTTGTTTTTTAAACTGCTTTTTACTGGTGGATCTAATGAGTGTAATTTCACCTTTCTTTCTTATCATTCTCTAATACATTTCGTTTTAATTTTTCTATATTTTTTCTGCGCTTCTGTTTTGCTTTCAGAGTGCATGCTTGTCCAGACTGGATGCTTGCAATGTGTCCCTGTTGGACTATCGTGTCCAGTCTTTATCTAAAGCTCTGCTAACCAGCCGCCTCAAAGTGCTCCACCTAACCAACGCCCAGCTCAGCGGCAAGTCTCTGTTCACACTGGGTATGAAACACAAATTTAAGGCAAACTCATAATTAATGCTTTTTAAAAACATATGTGCAATTTTTTTTACTAAATAGCATATGAAAATAGATTAACAACATCAGCTAAAAGAATAATAAAGAGTCATAAAGCAATGTGAAAAAGTTGAAGAGCACTTATTCTGTGGGAAAGGAATAAGGTAAATGTCTCAATGACTATAAGATGTTACCCCAATGTTTTGGTTAACTTTACTCTAACTATCTTTGCAATCACAGGTGCTACAGTTCTTTTGGAGTAAAAAGTAAGTTTTAGGGGTTTTATACATCTGGACATAACAATGTTGATTTAGTCTTTGGAAGGTTCTAAAGTTATTTAGACCTAACTTTGTATGCAGAAAAAAACAGATTTATCAGTCTCATTATATATTAAATAAAAGTGAAGCCAAAATCGAAAGACTTGGTGTTTAAAAAAAACAACAAAAAAAACAAAGAAAAACAAAAACGGTGTCCACCATCCATGATGCAGCATTACGTAGGTCCACATCAAGCAGCAATAAAACTGCATTCAGACCAGGCGCGTTTGCTGCGTCAAAGCGTCTGATTTACATGCTATGTATATGAGGGATGGCGTCGAGAGGCACAGCAGCACGTTCAAGCCTTCTGGCATCGGACGTTCAACCCTGGAGTTCAAAGAAGTGAACTTTTGTCACTGGACGCCGGAGTGTCAACAAATCAGAAAAGCTGATCCAGGATTTTTTTGGGGGGAGATGGACACTACATGCTGTTATCATTCCTGCAGAGCTGCCTGCATAAAATTTTTTTATAAATATCAAGGGGTTAAACTGTAAAGGTTTTTTAAAAAAGCCTGAAGAATAGATTGTTATGTATACGGAAAAGAGATCATTATTGCTGCACTGAGAAAATAACAAAAAATATTAAAACGTGCCAACGAAAATTATTCGATTATATATTCTGGTACTTGCAGTTTTTACCACAAACCCTAAAAACTCTTTATATTCACTTCCAGCTGCTACTAAGTGCTGCCTGCAGCAGAGAGCCCTCAGCAGGGATTTCCAGCGCTGCCTATCGGCTGTATGCTGGAGGTCTAGCGGTCCTAACAAGAACTGCATATTTTAGTAGGATCATAATCCCGATTAACTGACTGCACAGGTGATGTTTGGAGGTGGACTTTCTCTCTTAAAAACATGCATTTTTCCAACTTATAAAGTATATCAAGCCAAGCTACTCTTGCTTGAAGCTACAGAACCGAGCAGATAAACGCAGAACAAAGCATCCAGAGTGTCAAAGGTCAAAGCAACTTGACCACAGTTTCATCCAGTGTCTGACCAGGCACGTACAATTTCTGTTCGGATTTCTTTTGGTGTGAACACAGCATAAACCTCAAGTAGACTTTCTCTGTCTGACTTTTTCAGCCTTACACTACTTCAGTGGGCCAAGCTTCATCTATCTAAGGGTCTCAAGTTTTCTTGTGGAAGAACTTAATATTCAGAGGACTTCATGGTTCATTCAGTGCCTGGTGTCAACGGTTGTTATGTTAGAATAAGGGTGTCCGCTCTGATGTTGGGTTGGAATCGCTGTGACATTCTTTAGGACGATAAACTTAATTTAGGTTGGAAATGGCCTTATAACCTTTAAGATTTGATAAATAGTTAATAAATAGTTGCTGATTGCTGGGGTGTTTTTATCCAATCATCTTAACACACAACTGTATGGTCCAGGTTAGCCAATGTTTATAAAGTTACTCACCTCTACTCAGGATCAATTAATCACTAATATGCAGTAGAGTCAAGTAACAAAGTACAGATACTTTGTTACCTTATTTTGGCTATCTACCGGTACAATGGAGTAATTCTTTTTTAGACAACTTTTTACTTCTACTTCCTTACATTTTAATAATAAACTTCTTAGCTTTATGTCATTTCAACTAATTTTCTTTAGGGCCTCTTGGTATTTACATAAAAGATCAAATAATTTGATTCACCCAGACATTTAATTTCTTTGTGGTTGTTTTTCAAGACAATGTAGACCTAAATCTGACACTGTTACCATTGATTTAATCAAGAATTGTAGTAAAAGGTTCCTTTAATAGTGTAGTGCACTAAAGCATCATTCTTTTATACATTTTTTTATGCATTACTTTCATACTTTAAGTAGTTTTTAAAATGGTACTTTTACTTGAGGAAAAGGCTTAAGTTAATACCCTAACTTCTTCAAAAGTGTTTTTGAATGGTAGGATTTATGCTTCCACTTGAGTAATAAACATTAGTACTTTTGAGACCTCTGCTAATCTGACAACATGTTAAATATTGAGATATCTGAATTCCTATCCTGCCCAACTGGTTATGCTCTTTGATGATCTTAGACGAAATGTTATTAGTGCATCCCGACCATTTTATTTTTTCCTATAACTGTTCCAAGAATCCAGTTCTGAGGAACAGTTTGTGACAAGAGCTTCTATGGTGTGTATTGGTTGTGTAATATGTTGGGTTGTGGGTGTTTGTGTACTCTGGTCAGCAGGACCAGATTTCGACCTATGACCGTCTCTGCAGGTCTGGACCAGGATTAGAGGCCTAATCTCTTACCTGCCACTTTACGCACCAGTGCACATGTCTTTAAAGGCTGTGGAAGCCAGGACACACACACACTCCAATGCCCATACACACACAGGGCATTTAAGGTGTAGATATCTGTCCATTCTGCTGAAGTCATTGATCATCTTTGTTGTATCTTTTGACTCTGGGAAGAAAAGATAGGGCTGTGCAGGTGGGAAGGGTATGGGTCATGCTATATATACAGGTGCTGGTCATAAAATTAGAATATCATGAAAAAGTAGATTGATTTCAGTAATTCCATTTAAAAAGTGAAACTTGTATATTATATTCATACATTACATACAAACTCATATATTTCAGATGTTTATTTTGTTTAATTTTGATGATTACAAATGACAACAAATGAAAATCTCAAATTCATCATATCAGAAAATTAGAATATTACTGAAGACCAATAAAAACAAAGGATTTATAGAAATGTTGGCCAACTGAAAAGTATGAACATGAAAAGTATGAGCATGTACAGCACTCAGTATTTAGTTGGGCCTCCTTTGGCCTGTATTACTGCAGCAATGCGGCGTGGCATGGAGTCGATCAGTCTGTGGCACTGCTCAGGTGTTATGATAGCCCAGGTTGCTCTAATAGTGGCTTTTAGCTCTTCTGAATTGTTGGGTCTGGTGTATTGCATCTTCTTCTTCACAATACCCCATAGATTTTCTATGGGGTTAAGGTCAGGAGAGTTTGCTGGCCAATTAAGAACAGGGATACCATGGTCCTTCAACCAGGTACTGGTAGCTTTGGCACTGTGTGCAGGTGCCAAGTCCTGTTGGAAAATGAAATCTGCATCTCCAAAAAGTTGGTCAGCTGCAGGAAGCATGAAGTGCTCTAAAACTTCCTGGTATGTGGCTGTGTTGACCCTGGACCTCAGAAAACACAATGGACCAACACCAGCAGATGACATGGCACCCCAAACCATCACTGACTGTGGAAACTTTACACTGGACTTCAAGCAACGTGGATGAAGTGCCTCTCTTCTTTTCCTCCAGACTCTGGGACCTTGATTTCCAAAGGAAATGCAAAATTTACTTTCATCAGAGAACATGACTTTGGACCACTCACCAGCAGTCCAGTCCTGTTTCTCTTTAGCCCAGGCAAGACGCTTCTGACGCTGTCTGTGGTTCAAGAGTGGCTTGACACAAGGAATGCGACAGCAGAAACCCATGTCTTTCATACGTCTGTGTGTGGTGGTTCTTGAAGCACTCACTCCAGCTGCAGTCCACTCTTTGTGAATCTCCCCCACATTTTTGAATGGGTTTTGTTCACAATCCTCTCCAGGGTGCGGTTATCTCTCTTGCTTGTACACTTTTTTCGACCACATCTTTTCCTTCCCTTCGCCTCTCTATTAATGTGCTTGGACACTGAGCTCTGTGAACAGCCAGCCTCTTTAGCGATGACCTTTTGTGTCTTGCCCTCCTTGTGCAAGGTGTCGATGGTCGTCTTTTGGACAACTGTCAAGTCAGCAGTCTTCCCCATGATTGTGTAGCCTATAGAACTAGACTGAAAGACCATTTAAAGGCTTTTGCAGGTGGTTTGAGTTAATTAGCTGATTAGAGTGTGGCACCAGGGGCCATCAATTTTGAACCTTTTCACAATATTCTAATTTTCTGATATGATGAATTTGAGATTTTCATTTGTTGTCATTTGTAATCATCAAAATTAAACCAAATAAACATCTGAAATATATGAGTTTGTATGTAATGTATGAATATAATATACAAGTTTCACTTTTTAAATGGAATTACTGAAATCAATCTACTTTTTCATGATATTCTAATTTTATGACCAGCACCTGTATGAGCACACAGACAGAAACACATGAATAAATATATTACAAGCAAGCACAAAGGAGAGAGGTGTTAGTATTATGCTGGAATACATTACCATAAACACACAAACACAATTTAACAGGAAGCAGACAGTGCCATGGAGTCAAAGTACATTAGACATACTCTGCCCAGACAGTCCATGGTTGGTCCTCCTATCAATAACAGAGCTTTTCTGAATGATGTAAAAACATGCTTTAAGTACATCAGAGGGGTAAAACCATAGAACCTAATCTTTTAGAGTATTGCGAAGCCTTTGAATCCACTAAAAAAGAGCAAATTGCCTTGCAGTCTTGTAATTGACAAAACACTTGTGAACTTAGACTTTGCCAAGAAAATATGCTCCCTATCATAATGCAATTTATCCACATTTAAATCCGACATTTTGCCTGCTTAGAGGAGCATTTACACAAAAGCCACTGAAGCAGCTTCACTCGGCTACTTGAACCGCTTCTACGCTGAGCACCACTTGTAGCTCTCTGTATCTAATTAAAGTACAACTATGTCTTATAACTGCAGAACTTTATCAGTATAGCAAAAGAACATCTTCTCTAAGTTTATGTCACTCAGAGTCATAATTAAAGGTATTTTAACACAGCAGACCTGTTGCACATTTGGTCCATCCATCCACTGTTTCTTAATCACTTGATTGTTAATGGCAATTTCTTGAAGTTTTTACTTGCATGCTGTTCTGAAGTAAACATCTCAGTGGTTTATAATTAGGTTTTCCAATAGAATTAACACGTTAGCCAAGTTTAACAAAAGTTATGTTAAAGTTGGTATAAGATTTTACAGGGTTTTTTTTTTTTCCTCAAATATGATCTAAGGGCAAATTAAGTTGAATTTAGAACAACGCATAAACATGAAGTACACTCTTGATTTTTAGTTTAATAAATAAAAAGAAACAAAACCACATATCACGTGTATTTTTTGTGTTTAACTTTCAAACATTAAAAGTATTAATATAAATCTGTGATCTGCTGAATTGTAATCATGTTTTTATCATCAGATCATCAAATGAAAGTTTGTGTTTATGACTCCTCATGTGGACATGAAAATCAAAGTCATGCTCAGAGCCTGTCGCCTCCGCTCAGCTGGGAGCAGAACAGACCCAAATGGACTCAGTATGCTGCCCACTCTTCCCTCCTCTTTTTCAGGCGCTTCCTGAATCTCTTTGATATTTTCAACTCTTCCAAACCGCCCTCCTCCTCCCACTCACAACCCACATTCTCCCCCATCGTTCATGCCTTTACCGAGCCCCCCCTGGCCAATCCCTCCACCTTCCTCCCCAGTGGGGGTCCCAGCTGAGGATCACCGTCTTCGATCAGACCGGATTGTGTGCTTGCAGTAGAGTTGGCCGGGATCAATCCCACCGATTTCACCATTTGCTTCCCGCTGGGTCTGATGACAATGTTGGCATTCCACATGCAGGGCTGGGGGTTTGATTAAATCTGTGGCATTGATCTGGGTGGAAGGGCGACAAAGGTCCAAAACATGGACAAAAGTGAATCACAATACAGTATAGACAAAACAAAGGATGCAAAATTATTTTAAATATAAATGAATACGGAATACGCATCTAAACAGTGATAAAGTCATGAAAAGAAGTGGTTTGCTGAAATCTGACAGGTGTTTAATTACCTCCTCAGAGAAGTAACATCTCTGCTTTCACCTTTTTTATTGTTAGACAAGAGAACAACTGCTTCTTCGCTGTAAGAACTGTTGGAAGCTCGGTCTCCTGCTGTGAAATCATTTTCATGATCACGTTCACAGAGTCCCACGGCAGAGGCCTAGTGTTTTTTGTTCAGGACACAGCAGATCAGATTTAATACATATGAATTGAAAATACATTCCTGTTATCTCTAAAATTAGAAAACAACTTGTTGGCTTCTACCCAAAACCTCCAAATGACCTCTTCTCTCTGACCCTTCAAACTGTCACATTTGATCCTAACCGCAGACTGAAAAAGTCCAAACTTGTCAACAAATTACTTAATATTGATTCAAGTTTTTTATGATGGCTTCTGCGAGGTTTCATCATTCATCCAGGAAAAGGTGGGAGGGTATCTCTGCCTTATTTTCAAGAAGTATGGTCACAAATATGGATCATAACTGCAGAAGTCATATCCTGGATACATTTGAGCTTTCTTCTGTAAGTTTCCTCAGAGATCAGATAATGCACAGGTATGCAGTAGGACCTCTTTGTTACTCCTCCACATTAACGAGAATCCAAATGAGATGGTTTCTCTCATCAGGATAGCTCCCGGACGCCTCCCTCTGAAGATTATTGTAACAGGTTATCTGGACAGGTTTCACTGGAACCCACTAGGATGGATGGACAGAAGGATAGTGGATAAAATTGGTCTTTTTAAAAATCTCCTTCAGTCTTCATGTTTTAATATTCACAATGTTAAATATCAATATAAATGCTAAAAGCTTTATATAAAAGCATTAAACATCTGAGCAGGATGATTCTCTATTGCCAACCCCGCTTTCATCTATTTAGTGATTTTGGTAATTTTATGTCCGTTTCTCATCTCATCACCTACAGTTCAAGCCTTGAAGGCTAACAGAGCCTTACAGGAGCTCCATCTTTCCAACAACCAATTGAACAGCTACCAGGACGCCATGCAGCTGGGAGATCTGCTGAGATATAACAACACTTTGCAAAAGCTGGAACTCAGTAACAATGCTTTAGCAGATGGCGGTAAGTTTATCATGTTCATTAAAGAGCAAAAACCTTTTGCAGAGATTAATTCTCACAAGCAGATTCTTTAAAAGGTAGGCTACCAATGTCCAGAGAACAAGCCTGGAGAACTACTACATTGAACAAATCAGGAAAAATAGGAAATTCCAAGAGATTAACAAGGACAGAAAAAAGGAAGAATGATGGGCTGGTTTGGGAGTCTGAACACACATTTAGGAAGTTATAATACTGTGAAATGTATATGTGGTGTGACTCTCAGGTCAATTTCTCTATCCTTACAATGTTTACAGTTGGAGATAGCACTAAAGTTGAACATCTTTTAAATTCACCTTAACAGGTTGTGGTGATTTTTCAGGGTTGGAGGAGCTGTGTGAGGGTCTATCAAGGCAGACGAAAGGTGTTAAAGGCTTAATCCTCAAGAACAACCACATCACACAGAGAGGCATGAAGTACCTGGCCAAAACTCTGGTAAACACTTACTACAGAAATAACAAAGATGAAATATTGAAGTTTATATATTTTTTTGGCCTTTATTGGTTTGTATATTAGTTTTCAACTTCAAGTGGAGTTTGAGGATGTTCCCTCTTAACTGGCAGACTGCAGTGGTGGTTCCCCTGCATAAGAAGGGGGACTGGGAACTGTGAGCCAGGAAAGCATTTCAAAGTGTTTTGTGGTGCCCTGTAGGGGCCGCTCCAGGAGTACGGAATCGGGGGCCCCTTTACTAGGGGCCATACAGTCTCTGTACAAAGGGAGCAGAATTTTAATCTAAATTGCCTGCATTAGGCTGGACCTGTTCCAGATGCACTTTAGACTCTGGTAGGGCTGGCCTCTGTCACTGGTCCTGTTAATAACCTCAATGAATACGTTTTGTATGTGCAGCCAAGGGCCAGAGGGGGTCTGGTTTGGAGACCAGCGGAATTTGTCTCTGCTGTTTGCAGATGACATGGTTCAGCTAGCTTCCTCCTGGGAAGACCTATAGCAAAAATCAAGCAAAAATTGGTTTGCAACATCTTTTCAACATCTATTGTTGGACTAAAGTGGGACAAAATCAGACCAACCAAACACAGCCCAATGTTCAACAACTATTTCTGGATTAATCAAGACTACAAAGGACTGACAAGATTCAACTTCTAAATGACGTCTAATGTTTGGGGGGGAAGGAGGGCATTCACAGCCAAGTGTGAGTGTGTTGTCCAAGATGAGAATCAGCTAAGAAGCTAAGTTAACAAAGTTAAATTATGACTGACTGTTATGATCTGTAGTGAAGAAAACACAAGAGTAGTTTGATGAAATAAGAGGTGTGGGCTGTAACTGCTGGAGAAATGCCTTAATGACCATAATCAGACATTTGGCTGCCCATGTGGATTATGATGAAAGAGGATTAGGGTTAGCGGTTACCTCTTAGCTAAAGCTTTTTTTCAAGAGATTAGTTGCATTTTGAGTCTTGATAAGAATGTCCAAATTTCCTTTGTTGTCCATGTTTTGTGTTTTTTTTTTCCCAGTTTAAAGTCAGCATGTCGTGTGTTAAAACATACAGTGTTTGGTTCTTTCATACTCTTCACTTCCCTGTAAGCTTCTCACTCTACCCAAGGGGTATGAGTTTGACAGTTTTCAAGCACACAAGTTGCTTCTTTAATTGTCTGCCCTCATCCCTGGTGCATATCCATCCGGGATGCTTGGCCTGCTCCTCACCATGCCTCTGATGTGGAGGCTTTTCCGTCGTCCTCATCTCAGCTTGGAAAAGGGACTGAGGAACGGGGGAGGGTCTGGAGTGTGTTTGTTGTCACGGCGGTGCAAATTAACTCTAAAGAAGATGCTCTCCAGGTCTGTCAGTCTTCAAGCTTGTTTCCGCCCCCGTGCTCCATCTCTTTACAGAGCAGTGACCAGAGGAGGGTGGTGAGGCGACGGGACGCAGCCAGGAGTGGGCGTTGCGTTCCACTTCAGGCAATGTGGGCCCCTCGTGCACCAAACACCCTCAGCTTCATGCACTAGCTAATCAACCTTCAATGCTAATGTGACTCTGGAGAGAGAAAACAGAAATTCTGAGTGAATAACATGAGAGGGAACATTTCTGAAAGGAATAGTATTTACAGCTGAGCGGTGGAAATCTAAACTTTTCAGCCTCTCCAAACTGATTGACTACTAACACTCTCACTAACAGCCATTCTGGTCTCACAAGTTATTTTTCTCCAGCCAGGTCTGAAGGCCCTGGAAGTTCTGGATTTAGGGGATAATCTGCTGGGTAATGAGGGCATCCAGATGATCAGGGAGCCGCTCATGTTGAACAGTTCAGTGCTGCATCTTGGCCTTGCCCAAACAAACATCACCTGTGAAGGTACAGTAACTTCTAACCCATGTATGCCCTCTTAAATTAACATATATTGTCAGCAGTAATTTGAGGTTTTCAACTCTACTGCTTGACTGGTATCTTAGTATAAGATTTGTGGCAAAATTTTTTTCTGAAGGCACTACATCTGTCCCTCCATATAAGGTGCTGTGGCGCTGGCTGAGTTCCTTGCTGAAAGTCGTCTGATTCAAAGGTTGGACCTCCATCAGAACAAAGTGAAGCTTGGAGGCTTGATGGCCCTTAGTCTGGCCCTGAGGATAAACAGCTCTCTGACTGATCTGGATGTTGACCCCATACCTCCACAGGAGCTGGTAGGTGTCCATCTTAGTCTTTGGGGTCCAGCTCAGCTTTATCTACTTTAGTTGACTAAAAAGGATTTAGGACTCTTGGGAATGTTACAGTAGTTGCAAGTTTGGGACATCTCAGAAACCCAGCTTGTTTTATGGTACATAGAAGTGAAACCTAATTAAATGTAATCATTCTAATACCAAACTGAGTTTGAATATTTGTTTACCCATATTCTACCACTCATCTGATACCAGATTCAGGAAATAAAGTTTTCCTTTCTCCTACTTTGTTTAACTCTTTCAAGTCATCAAGACTCCAAGATATTGTAACAGCACCAGTTGGAAGAGTAGCTCAGTCCCAGTCTAAATATATCCATCTGATCTATCATGTTCAGGCCTCGTCTCAGACTTTGAGATGCTTTAAATGCTACTTCAATTGGCTCAAGGATCTGCTGGAGATCCCCTCTTGGTAGGGTCTGCTGGAACTTACCATCCACATATCAATGCAAAAATGAGAAATTGTCAGTTTGAATAAAGATCCATCCATTGTTGAATTTTAGTCAAGTTATACCCCTTCCTTGTTACTGATGTTCCCTTAAAGGCTGTGGAATACTCTGTGCACAGACGGTTCCGTTGGCCTTAAGTGGCCAATAGAATTATTTTTAATTCCTCATTACAAAATCAATTAAAATAATATTAATTAATACCAAAGAGAAATTATATGTTGCACTTCTTATATGGGCTTCTTCAATGTTTTTTTGTAGATGTAAGTTGCTGTAGGCAGCTAGGATACCCTGTAGCTGCCGTTCTTAAAGGGAATCTAGAGTAGTCTCACAATATTGAAAAAAGGTTATGTTTACTTTATATGTTTTACAATTTAATAACTTTTATTTTTTTTAAAGTGTATAAGGAATGAATAATTATGGTAAAAAGTCAGACATTTTAGTTTGGGGTAAGTTGGAGTTCTCTGGCTTCCAGCTCTCCAACAGTTCTATTTGAACCTATATGAGTTTACTCACATTTGGTTTCTTGTAGACTTGAATTCATGTTTATGATGTTATGTGTTTTTCGTCTCCACCTTTCTATGGCTGCAGAGGCCTGAGGAAAATGGCGCCATAACTTTAATACATGCCCCTCCTGGATTCACTAAATAATTACCCACACTTGCCATCTGTTTGTCATGATTTTATCTCTGCTGACTTATTTGCATATTAAAGCATTAATTAAAATCTCGAAGGAAGGGGATGCTTACTCTGAAGGCAATCCATGCACAGCTTCCAGAGTACTTTTATTTTTGTTTGCAGTGGTTTACTGTTTGTCTGCGTGTTGTTTACACGATTAAGTCTGATTTTATGAAACGCCTCCTCTGGCTAAAGTCAGGCGAAAAGATGTGCCAGATTCTGGAGGATGTTTCTGTGAATGTGTGTCATTAAAGCTGGGATTTCTTCATCTCATTCCTCAGTTGTTGTTTTATTTTTTTCCTCCCCTAAAGCTGCAGAGAGATATGATTAGCATTCCCGCCGTTGTTGGGAGCTTGTGTGGTTGGGCATTTTAAGGGAATTGTAATAAGGGAATTTTTTAAGCCGTGGCAGGTTCTGGAACCACACAGATGGGATTTGTCTTGCCGTGGCCTATGCAGGTGGGAGGAGTGACGATCGTATTAAAAACCAAATCTTTCCATCAGAAAGCAGCGGGTGGCCAGATCAAGTGTTCCCGCTCATTCCCATTCCCCAGGCCGCAGAGGAATACGTGGAAATTTGGGGAAAATAAGTGATAGAGGGGGTTAAGGCACTCGCTGATGTGCCTGTGTGTGTTCCGCCGTGTGTGTGGTTTTATAGGGAAGCGGGAGGGGATCAGGGATACGCATATTTAGAAGGTAGAAGAAGGAGAGGAAATCTGGGTCCTCTCGTCTTTGTTTACAAGAGTTGGAGTTTTCATGTCTGTTGCCACAGTGCTTCATTTGATCAGTGGCCTGTTTGCTGTTAATTATTAATTATTTACCCGTTTAAAATATTCATGCTCCCCAGCCCTGGTGGAAAAAAGCCTTTCTGAGGGGCATCTTCTCTCTGTAGCCACTGCAAGGGGGAGCTGTTTATACATCCTTATCAGGGGAACCAGTTAATGAAGTGAAGTTCCTCTGCCCGACACGCTCTTAATCACACATTGGACAACAGGGCCTCTGCGCCTGCTTGATGCCTAAATATTTGGCTTTGGATTTGTCCAACACGAACGCCCTGTTAGCAGAAGAGTTAAGAGATAAGGCAGGCGAGTGTCCTCTTTTGAATGTCGCATGTCAGAGGTAGATGTTGTTAGAGCAATAATTATGACAGCAAATTGTGTGTATTTATATTTACTGCTATAATTGATATTTTTTTCCTTGTAATCTGAAAGCTTTTCAAAATCATACATTTTTTGCAGACAAATTTAAACGATAACCAACCCAAGCCAAGCCCATTTTCCAGGTTTTTGTTGTCTCTTTTACTCTCAGCGGTTGAAGGATTTTGGTCCATTTTTAAATACGGTTTAAGTTTATTAAGTGTTTGCAGACATTCCTTTCTGTACAGACTACCTAAGGTCCCACCAACATTTTTTAATCAAACCTCTTCTGGACTCTTTGGGTTCAACCTTGTTTTTACATTTGAAACTGGAATTGTTGTCTTGTTAAGAACCCAGGGACAAGTTTTAGAGATAGCTTCACAGAATTCTCCATGTTATTCTAGAATGCTTTAATTTTCAGGAAAGTTCATGATCAACTCAAGAACTGCAGAGAGCTTTGTTTATAAGGTTGCAACACAAGCCGGACTCATCAGACCTTCAGCACTGGGCCTAATAACTTGCATTGGGCTGATATCCTGTTTTCTCGAAAAATAATGCTACATATTTTGGTAAAGGATATTCAGTATGGTGTTGTCCGTCTGAAAGATTCTGTTTCAGCAGTGCACTAGTTATACTTTGAAAAACCCAATTTTCAAGTGGAAACAGACATTCTCATTCAGTACTTTCAGACAAGCTATACACATTAGCTTATTTAACTAACTTACTAAGGCCTATTACACAATTTGGATATTTTGGAGGTGAATACTGTAGATAGCTATTGGGTCACTCTGACTGCCAATAAAAAGTCATATATGATTTGCATAAGTTTTGGGGTTTTTTTTCCACTTGCTTCCTTTATTAAGACCCCTGCTTTCCCTATATATTATTGACTATTGCTATAGTCTTTCTGTCTTGGCTTAAACCCTTCCTGCTTTTTTGTCTTGGAAACATTATCTCAGGCTGATGGTTATTTTTCTTTAATTCTATTTCCCATTAGCTAGTCAAAAGCAAAGATACTTTTAGAAACTGGTGATTTTCCCCTTTCTACAGGTTAACTTTGAATGCAAGGTTAGATGCTGGAAAATCAAACAAGGTGTTAATTCATGGTAAGTTACAGACTAAGCCAATGTATTTATTTTGTTGACATATCAGGGTAACTTTATCACATAATTATGCATGATGTTTTAGAGTCAGTACTCGAGTGGAGGGGCATTAAAAAAATGTAAAAACCATCCCCCTTCTTAAGTGACCATGACCCCCATACCATCCCCTATGACTTTTTATCTCTAAATGTGTAAAATTTCTACTATATATTAACAGTAATTGCAATAATATTGCCCTTTCAACATTTGGAGGGCCGTGGGCTTACTTGTAGCTTGAACAAAATAAATAAAATCAAAGAATTGGCCTACTATGACTATGAAGCTGATCACAATGTGAAATTTGTTCTCTGCATTAGTCCCTAACTATGTAGGGGCAGTGATAGCCATGCCAGTCCAGGCACTGACTCCAGTTCTACTGTAAGGTGTCTTGGCCAAAGTCAATGAATGGCGTAGCTGGCATCTGACAAACATACCATGCAATGTTATGTATGCCTCTAAAAAAACAAAACAAAACAAAAATCCACCATCCCCCCTTTTTTAACAACTAGACTACTGTTTAGAGTGGAGCTGTGTTTTTGTCAGAGATCACATTGAGGGTGATCACGCAGACAGCGGCCTTTTTAAGGAACCATTTTTAAGTGCGATAAAAAAGAAGGGTCTATTTGTATGTTTTTGGGGCCTTGTCATGTCCCAGTAGGCCGGCCGGGTTTCACAGTAGCCCAGTCATGCATGCAGCTTGTATGTTCATGATGCTGCTGCTCAGGAGCGTCAACATCAACCATGCAGAACAAACCTTCAGACAATGTCTCGTAGGGCGGTAACAAAATGGCTCCAAGGAGATGGACGGTTCTGGATTAACAATATTCCCATATCTGCAATTAAACTACAGTTCATATCTAGACTCACAAGACTAAGTCACCATCTTGTTTAACTAAACGAATCATTGTTTGGTCAATACTGGAGGAATGGTCAAACTCATGGTAGTAATTTTCAACTGCTCAATGAGGACTTGGAGTACCAAACCCCTTTAAATAAACTGCTAACTACTTGGTAAACCACCACCCTGCATTATTTTTACACAAGCTACCTCTCAAGAACTCCTAGATATGTATTTTTCCTTGTTATATTTTTGTTTATATATATATATATATATATATTTTTAATTATATGAATAATACATTTCAAAAGCCATTTTAAAATAAATAAACACATAGCAGCAAGGTGTGTTTTGTTTGCAAATGATACATTTTGAGTTAACATAAAATAAAACAAATCTTACTATATATTACTTATTATTTAAGTACCTCAGCAAACTATTAATCTGCTTCTGGTGCTTTTGTCCAGTGTTGTAGAAGGAAAATCTCTTTCTTGATAACGCTCTGTAAACTTTTCCTAACTGATGAATAGAAATGTTGTTTTGGTCTCTATCACAGAGGCGTTAAAAGCTGACATTGAGATAATAAATGTTTGTGTTTCCTTAAAAAAAGCCATTATTGGCAATAGATAAAGAAAACACAGAGGAATATATCCTAACTTGGATATGAATTTACAAAGCTAATATAAAAAAGAGACATTAAGAGGGTCTTATTCTGTCAAAAGGCTGTT